TGGTTACCTGAAGGAGCACTTACGTCCATACATGCCCGCCCGCCCCTTGAGATCAGCGGGAGAGGCCCTTCTCTGGGAACCCTCCGTGAAGGAAATTAGGAGGGTGAGTACTCAGAGGAGGGCTTTCTCTGCGGTGGCGCCCAATCTATGGAATGCGCTCCCCAGAGAGGTCTGCCTGGCTCCGTCGTTATTTGTTTTTCGGTGCCAGGCGAAGAGCTTTTTATTCAAATGTTATTTTAATTGTTAATATTATTTATTCATTTTATTCTTTGGCCAGGGTGACTTAATTTATCTTGTTAATTTATATTATTCTATCTTGAAGTTTGTTTATGGTTGTGAGCCGCCCCGAGGCTTCGGTGAATGGGGTGGCATAGAAGTCTCCTAAATAAATAAATAAGTCAGAGATGACTTGAGAGCACACAGAACACACAAGTGATCACGCCTGGCCACAGTTTGCCCCACTGTGATGAAAGGTACCAAATTTCTATTGAAATTACTTATGCATTTATTTATTTAATATCTATACCACCCAGTAGCCAGTAAAGTAATCATGAAAGATTACCATACAAAATATAAAGCCAAATGTAAAACAGATGGGAGAAAAGCTTCTCCCTATCCAATTTCTTCACATCTTGCATAATTTTGTACACTCTCTGATTTAAATTCTGCAGCATTCATTTTTTAAAGGGCAGTGTTAGAATAGATGCAATAAACATGTATTCACATTTATATACCTCTCAGTCAGCAGATGCTCTCAGCATGGTTTATAATGTTAAAAAAATCCAAAACTGTAGTTATAACTATGAAAATAAAAAACTATTGCAAGATTAAAGTATTAAAATGTCAAAGAGTCTGCATTAAAATTTGCATATTTCAAAAGAAGTATTTCTACATTATAGTTAGTGGGGCAAAGTGCACACTTTTGACAAATAAACATATAGATGTGCACTTAACCCAACTGAAATGCACATTTCCTTTATTTGAACAAAAGGGAAAGCAGGTTGCATAGGACACGGGAACGAGGCAAATGAAGAATCTCAGCTGGGCCTGGTTCTCCCAGCTTTGGATCCGTTGCAGCCCAACCAGGCTTAGGGCCTGAGTATCCAAAGGAGCCTCTCCTTCCATATGCATCTGCTTGTCCCTTAAGATCTGGGGCAGAAGCCTCTTTCCAGGAGCCCTCCCTGAAGGAGATTAGGAGGGTGACTACCCGGAGGAGGGCCTTCTCTGCGGTGGCACCCCAATGGTGGAATTTCCTCCCCAGAGAGGTTTGCCTGGCACCGTCACTGTATTCTTTTTGGCACCAGGCCAAAACCTTTTTATTTTCCCAATGTTTTAAGACCCGACTGTTTTAATTGGGGTTTATTATTAGTTGAATTTGAGCTGTGTTTTAATTTTTTTACTATTTTGTATTGTTGAACCATCCCGAGATTTCGGTAATGGGATGGTCTAGAAATGTTTGAAATAAATAAATAAATAAATAAATAAATAAATAATACCTTAGGTATGAGCAAGGAAGGGCTGTAGCTCCCTTTGGAACGGTGAAGGACCACGGTCTGACCATGGCAGGTCAGGACACTGCCAGCCCGTGTAGGCAGTCATGAGCTATGAGTGGGAGCAATGGCTTAATGCATTATAAAGCAGTCTTCCCTACTTCGGTGTGTCTTTGCCTGTGGAAAGCTGTGATTGCTGAACTCTGCACAGGGCTGCAGTCTTAAGAGATTAGCTCTGGCTAGAATCACCACACAAAAAAGATAACATGTGTCTCTTTTGTAGTCTCAAGGATTAAGGGGCCAGGTATCTTTGTGGCTCCGATGGGGAAGGGAAAGCCTTTGATGAGCGAAGAGATTGGGGTTGAGTGGTGTTCCCTGGTTAAGCCAGGGCTATTTCTTTGTGTATTTCTTCCGATTAGAGTTGATTTCCATGGTGGTGTCTGGGCAGACACACGAGTCAACTGGCCCCACATATTTCTGCTCAGATCATAGCCATTGTGTCTGCATCTGCATGTAGGGTTATGGCTCAGCAGGAGCAAATGAGAGGCAAACCACTGGCCCCTTCCGTTAGCTCTGTTGGTGATCTTTTTTGGGTGATGTGCAAGTAACCATTCCATTTCTGCTGCATCTTTTCATGGCAACTGTACAGAGCTGTGGGGTTTGTGGAGTTCCACAATGAGCGGAAGGCTTAGGTGAACTCATTGGTAGGAAATACCTGGTCCCTTGACCTGGTTACCTGAAGGAGCGCTTACATCCATATATGCCCGCCCACTCCTTGAGATCTGCGGGAGAGGCCCTTCTCCGGGAATCCTCCGTGAAAGAAATTAGGAGGGTAGGTACTCGGAGGAAGGCTTTCTCTGCGGTGGTGCCCCATCTGTGGAATGCGCTCCCCAGAGAGGTCCGCCTGGCGCCGTCATTATTTGTTTTTCTGCGCCAGGAGAAGACCTTTTTATTTAAGCGTCATTTTAATTGTTAATATTATTTGCTTATTTTATCTAGCCAGGGTGACTTATTTTATATTGTTACTTATTTTATATTGCTATTTTTGTATTTTAACTTTATGTTGTGAGCTGCCCCGAGGCTTCGGCGAATGGGGCGGCATAGAAATGTTTTAATAAAAAAATAAGTAAGTAAGTAAGTAAGATAACAGGCCCTCATAATGTCCTTCGGAAGCTAATGGCTTGAGTCTGACTGCAGTGACACAATCATTCCCTTCCAAGTTCCAAGGAATAGAACTTTTCCCCCATCTTAGTCAGTTTTAACCCCGCCACCCGTCTGCTGATTTGCCACCTGTATGCATCTCTTCAGAAGGAAATCCCACTGAGTTTGATGTGGCTTCCTGCCTGATAAATATGTATAAAATAGCAGCATTAATGCAGTACCGCATTTGGGGTTTCCCCCAAATTAAGAAACTCTGGTTCTATTTTTGCATTTACCTGGAAACTGCCTTCAGGATAGAAGAGCATGAGAGAAATTGGCTCAGAGCAAAATAAAGGAAAATCCACCCTTCTTTTCCTGCTAGCAAAAATGTAGACAATTTGGATGGAAAAAATCAAAGGGCCAACAGAGGCTAAGGCCATGTGTTAGGGACAGAGGAAATAGCGTTGCTGCGAAGGACCAGAAAATGTCAGCCACTTGCCTCATGTGTTAACCTCGTCTGCTGCTCCTTCTTTGGCAGTTTGGCAGATGTCAAAAAGCACCTTTTTTTTTTTTTTTTTCTGCCGTGTCCTAGTTATGACTCCCCAGAATTTTGGCAACTTTATCTTGCCCTGTCGTAACACCTTCCAAGAAGCCTTATTCTGTATAACCCCACTGCCGCCTCTGTTTTTCTGGGGGAATTAATTAGTTATTCCTCGCCAAGTTCCCGGTGCAGGTTAGCTTTTGCAGAAGAAAAATAAGACAAGTGCAGGGGGCAGCTATTTTCTGCTTAACTAACATCCACGGTCAATTAAGAACCTCTCTTCTCCCTGTTTCCAGGAGAGAGTGTGTGTGTGTGTGTGAATAGTGCCATTGTTCTGGATTTCAAGGTGGACTCCTGTAACTCTTCTGTTGCCATGGTGTTGGAATGTTCTCCCCAATGATACTTCCTAGTAACCTCAGAGGTTTTCCCAGCAAATTAACCCAGGTGATTTGTAGGCGGCTGGGTTGCATTTCATGCTGCTGACAGCCAACTCGTTTAAGTAGGAGAGGAAACAGAAATTTTACAAGGATATTCAACTTTGATTGAAATGCAGAGATTACATTGAAACAATGCTGTCTTCGGGTCCTTACTTATCACAGGAAGCTAATAATTTAGAATATGTGTGTAGGCGGGTGTTAATATTGCCATGAACCAAAGCTGTAGTTGTATTTTGTGGCTACGGCTTGGAATTTGGAGGCTGAATAATTGGGAGGCAGTGTAAACTGGCCAGAAGGTGAGCTAGCTTTAAGGGCAGCTGGCAATTCCATTGGCCACATCATTAGTATATCATTTTGAATAGGAGGATTATTTCCACATTGCTGTTGGGTACTGTGGTATGGTGCTTGAAAATATAGGAACATAGAGACAGAGTGAGTCAGAAGGGGCCTCCTGGGCCATCTAGTCGGACCCCCAACTCCACCCAGCTCTGCTCATGACATGCCCACCATGTGCATGTCCAGCTATATATTTGCATGGTTCAGACCTAACGGGGAACCTATGAATGAGAGGCCTTCAGAATGTCCTGTCCTTCACAGCTCTGCTCAGCTCTTGTACATTCAAGACTGTGGCCTCCTCGATGAAGTCTGTCCATGCCACAGTTGCCATCTCTTTCTGCCTTCAACTTTCCCTAGCATGATCGTGATATAGTCACCCGTGTAACTTAGAGGAGGTGGTTGTGCTTGGATGGCATGCAGCGCAGGGGTGCAGGACCTCTGGTGCGAGAAGGAAGTGTGCTCTGCTAGAGACTCCTTCTGGCCCCTCAGGCCTCCCCGGAGGAATTTGCCTTCTTCCTCTGGCCCCATCTCCTCAGTCATTGCTTAGCTGGTCAATTCCAGGCCAGGTAGAGGTATTTTTGGCTCTACCCTTCACCTCCAGTCCAGACAGCCACTGGAAAGCAACCCTAGAGAATTCACAGAAATGGAATTCTGCCCTGGGATAGAAGAGATTCAGCACCCCAGGCTAAGACATAGTTTGATGTGTGTGAACACACCTTTGGATCACAGGCGTCTCTTTCCAGTTTCTTATTCTGCAAAGTCAAGAGGAGGAGTTTGGAAGAGGATGCTTCCATTTTTCCTTAACCGTAGCTTGCCATGTCTTCCAACATGACAAGCCATGGTTTCATGTTGGCTTGTTTCAAACATATTTAACATGAACCACCATTTGCCGTTTCAGAGAGTTTAGGATGAATGTAGCCTATATATTCCATAAGCACAAGGACACACTGTGCCATATTTTATAAACCAGGTGGGCAGTGGAGATAAAGAACAACCCCTCTGCAGTTCTCCTTATCCTTCACTGAACAAAGTAACTATTTGGGGTTTGCAGTAGACTTGCTCTAAGCATTGCCATTTTTATTTTAAATTTCCTTTTCAGTTGACAAATTCCTGCTTGTTCCTGTATGTCTCCTCCATGATTTGGGTATGAAGGAATCCTAAAACAAAATAAACACCCAGGTAAATCTCATCAAAAAGGATGTTCCCAGAAAACGTAGCATTTTCTCTCAGTTGAGGGGGAAAATGAGGGTTGTGAAAGATTTTTATGAACCTTAATTGCTGAGGCATTTTAATTATATAGGATCTGCATCTCAGGCATGTCAAGACAGAAGAATAAAATTACCCATTGGTTGGTGCAGCCTTCCCCAAACTCCTGTCCCCACTCAGTCCCCACTGGGCCTTAACCCCCAACCTTCCTCAGGCAACATGCTGTTTGGGGGTGATAGGAATTGTAGTCCTATACCCCTGGGGGCTGTCAGGTCAGGGACAAGTCTGAATTCTTATGTATCCCTGAGCAGTATATGTAACTTTTGCAAGGAGGGGCAGTGAGTCATCCTTTAATGGAGCTGTCTGTGTGATCAAAAAAGATAAACCTGTTCTGTAAAATTTCCAACGCAGCATCGCTATTACTTACCTTAAAGCAGGGAATCCTCCAGGCAAGCCACACACCTTGTATCATCACTTTCCTCTCCAGGAGCTACCTGAAGTTTCCAGATTGGAGACTAGGGACAATTTTGATGGTGGGACCAGGGTAAGAGAAACGGAATTAAATGTTCTCCCGGTGCAATCAGATTTGGAGCTCCAGAGCTCCTTCCCAGTAAGCAATACCAGTTAGATCCCACCATGGGCCTCTTAAATGTCATGAGGTTTGGATCCCAGACTTAATAATAGTGTCAGAGACGGTGGCGTAGTGGAACCAGGGCTGGCAGTGACTCACGCTGTCACCTGCCCGTTCCTCAGAATTCCTCTGAGCATAGCTGCAAAGCACACAGTAGCGTGAGAGGCAATGATAACACTTTCCAGCAACATTATTTGGCTGTCTTGCAATGCAAGGTATTTTGGGGAAAGGTGGACATGTTTGGGGACATTTTGGTGGTGTTGTTTTAGAAAAAATATGTGCAAGTGTAATGGGTATGGCAAAGTGGATAGAGTTGTCTGTGGACCCCAGGTGAAAGGGGCTGGAGAGGCAGGCCAGGCGAACGGAAGGATTTTGACACAGGTAGTACACAGTTCATCTGTGGAACTCATTGCCACAAGATGTGGGGGCAGATGTGAGCTTAGATGGAACTCAAGGAGGATGGTTCTGGTGCCCTAACATTTGGTGGAATGAAGTAGCTGCTGCAGGTGGCAGATTCTGGCAGGTGCCAGCAAAGTATTGGAGGAGAAACTTGAGTGCATTGCAGCTTGACCTGTGCCCCCTAAGCTAGCCAACAGCCTTTGCTTGGGTGGATGAAGTGGGAAGCGAACACCTTGAGCTTCCTTTCCTGGGTCTTACACGAGTACTTCGGGAAGAAAGCTTCCCCATGCAGAGTTCTGTTTCCAAGCCTCCAAGAAATTCTCTTACTGTTCTTCTGCTTCCTTACCTTCCACCTATTGATGGCAGCCTGTGCCCTTGCTTCAGAGGTTCCTGGTAACCCAGGTCCCATATTGCCGAGCATTAGACTGTTAGTAAGTAGAGGAGCAAGCCTCTAGCAGCACTGTTCTGCCTTTTTTCCTTTTTTGGTTCTCTCGGTGTCGTGGCAGAGAAATCGTCTGCATGTGATTTAATCTCTGAGTTCTCCTCCATCCCACCCCGGCAAATGGGCTCATCCCAGCAAAAGAATGTGTCAGGCTGCACCTATTCTGTTATTTTTTAATCTGAAATTAATCTTAGAAAGAATTCCAGCTCTCCCCTACCCAAACAGGTAAGATTATCTCCAGCAGGACCTGTCCATTTTCAGTTGGCAGATACGGGCAGGATCCGAGAAAAAGCTCTCCGCTCTCTTTTGTGTGTCCATAGAAACTAAATTATGTACAGGAGTTAATGAAATGTTCCCAGACATTCTGCATCTGGTTCTTTCTGTGCTGTTACTTAGGGCCAAGTTTCACTCATGCCAGCCCCACTGTGCTGCTCGTCTGCTTAATTGTGTTGTCAAAACTGAGTTGTGGCATTTCACCCTGATGAGTTTTAGCAATCATGGTAAGAAACAACGGTTTGTTCTGTTTTCTCCATACCAGCAAGGCTTGCCATGCTGTGATTTCCACAGTCCCGGTATGTAGCTACCACAGAGTCCCCTGGAAAGAGTGACAACTGCAGGAGCTGCTCTAGCCATCTAGTCTCTATGTGAGACCGATGAGGAAGAGGCAGCTGCATCAGGAGAGAGTGGTGTGCCTTGGGATTCAGTCTCAGGCAGTGGGGATGAGTTAACAGAGGGAGGCTGAGTGGGGAGGATGGAAACCACGCAAAGTAGAAATCACTTGATCATCTGTTAGGTAGATCACGGTAAAAATGCATGGATCATGGTAACCATACAGAGTTGTTTCTCATGCTCTGTGGACGCAGCTGCTGCGTTAAACGTGCGGGGTAATTTCCTTTGTAGACCCTTTGAAAAGAATGGGGCTTGAGTTAGTTGTGTGACTTAGGTCTCATTTGTTTCATTGGGTCAGTGCCCCATAAAACTCACAATGGATGTATGACCCATAGCACGCAATGTTTCAAATCTCTGTGAAAGCATACAGAAGCATGGTCTGGATTGGGACCAGCATGCACAGAGAGGAAATTTAAACCTTCCTAGCTGCCCACATCCCACTGTTACATCCAGTAACAAAATGAGAGTTCTACATATAGGGCAGGATACAGTTTTAAAAAATAAATAAATAAATTTAAAACAAAACTCTATTGCTGCCCATTCATTCCCCCCCCACCCCTTTGTTGGAATCCCAGTGGTGGTGATGATTCTGGAAAAAGAGGTCTCTGGGTGGGGAGAGGACAAGCTCCTGTACCCACATGTGGTGGCCATCCCAGTCTGATCGGGACCTACACGTTTACGCTAAGGCAACCGGAAAAGTGAAGGATTTAACAGAGAGTGTGGTTTAGCCTTTGGTGGAGCACCTGTTGCCCCTGAGAGCACAAGCACGAGCGAAGAGAATGGGTGGGCCCTTGGAAGGTTTTCCTCCCTGCTTCTTACTGCCATTGCTACTCCAGCAGGAGCAAGGACTTCTGCTTGACTTCTGCCCCTTGTCTTGCCCACCCACCTTAGGAGTATTTGTCTGGGGGCATGAAGCCTCTTTCCATTTTCTCATAGGATTTTGGGCAGCATTGCCTGGAACAGAGGGGAGGATGTGGTGATGACCACTGATTTGGTTGCCTTCTCTTGCTGCTTTTTTTAAAAAACCCACAATCAGACGCAACTGCCGCAGGCAAGGCAACTGTTCCACATGAAAGTCCTTTGTTTGAATATTCCCCACCCCACTGGAAGATCGAATTGGCCTAAGAACAAATTGGAGTAATTTAAGGCTTAATTTTTCCAGCATCAGTGCACAACAATAAAATCTGTGTAAGATTTTACAGATGCTCTGTCTACTGACCTTCAATCAGAAGAGCAATTGTTCAGCCTATAAACTTCAAATTGGCATAAAAATGCTCCCCCTTGATGGAGTTTTGTGTGTTTTGCTGGAAAGGTTTGCTCCTCTTGCTGGCTCCCAGAGCAGACTAAGAGGACCCGTTTTTAACCTCATGCTGTGCCCCAAATGCGCTCTGCAGTCCTTTCGTTATGCAGCTTTGGGGGTATTTTATGCCCCAGGCATTTCTGGTTTCCAGGAAGGAAACTGTAAAAGGCAGGAGACTGAAATGTGGGGACATTGTTTGCCACCCTGCATTTGACAGAGTCCTTGATTGCAGTCCTGCTTAGGTGTCATTGACACAGCAAAGTGAAGGAAAATCACCTTGGAAAGCAGGATGGAAAAGTCTGGACAAATTCGTATATCGAGATGGACCACTGGCCAGCCCAGTTCAGTATTGCCTGCTCCAGGGCTGGGGAACCTCCGTCCACCCGTGGGCCAGATCCCATTTCAGAGAAGTACTGGGAGGATGGATTTTTGTAGTGGGAGGATCCAGATGCAGAGGGGGCAGGGCCAGATACCAGCATCTTGTAATTAAAAGCTCTTCCTGCCTAGAACTAAGCATTAAGAGGGACATTTCTTTCTTTAGACTGAGGGGGACCTGCACAAAAGCTAGGAAAACAGTGATCTCTCTCTGGTTGGGAGATGGGGTTGGGCCCTAGAGAGCCAGAACTGTGGTTCAGGACTAAGGTTTTGCAGTTTTGCCCAGTCACTTCCTTCCCAGCCTGAAGCACCTTACAGAAAGACGAGAAGAAACATAGAAACAGAGCAAGTCAGAAGGGGTCTCCCGGGCCATCTAGTCTGACCTTCAGCACCAGCCGGCTCCGCTCACAACATGCCCACCATGTGGACATCCAGCCTGAATGCCATCCTGAGATCTTGGAGAGAGATCCGATGCCTTCCTGCACTTCCCATCCCACCAGTGAAATTCCTGTCATCATCTCTTCACAGTCTTCATTCCATACCTCCTTTCCAGCAATCTCCGGCTAAGGATGGCCCCAGATTTGGGTCCAGGAGGACTTGACAGAATGCCTTCTAGTGGGAACACCCTTGTGCCAAAGGCCTTGCAGGGCAGCTGTGGCAGACAGCAGCACTGTGGTCCTGAACTATTGTCATGTTTCCCCCGGAAGTCGCCAGGCGCTGCTGCATCGGAGGGCTGTGGACTCCAGGCGTTGGAGAGACCGTGGGTAAAACCCTTTGAGCATACCCATCTGCGCTCGCTTCGGCCCCTCTTGTGCCTCCCCTCCCCCCAGCACAACTTGTGGGGCCACTCAGAGGGACAATGCAGATGTCCAAAGGGCGTTTTTCTCTCTCCTCACCTGGGCAGGTAAACATACAGTGGCAGTGAGCAGTGGGGTCGGGAGGTGCTAGGGATTGACCACGGCCCCCCTGCAAATGCCAAGGCCCCAGCAGGTAACCCTGGCAACCAGCACTGCAGAAGACCAAAATTCATGCGCTGGCTACAGGGGCCTTGGGGCGGGAGTTTGTGTAGTGGCGAGCCCATCTCCTGCCTGACACAGGTAGGTTCTGACGACCTGTGGAACCTCTCCCCAACCCATGCAAGCTACACTTGTGCAGGCACTCCGTTCTAGAAAGCCGTCCTAAATTCTTTCACTTCCTCTCCTCGGTAGACCTGGCCACAATCTGGGAGAAGCTGGGCTCCATAGCAATTTTGTGGTGTCTGTAATTGCCATAGATTGAAAATGGGGAACGCGTCCAAGTCGTTCAGTGTGACATGTTGTGAGCCTGTCTTTTGTAAGACCTCCTCTCAGCCGCAAATCAGGTTTTGGTTTCTTTGCAAACAGGAGGGGGGATTCTGCTTGCTGGCAACATCCTTTCAGCCAAGCAGAATTAGTGCAACTTCTCATAGTTTTGCGATGGCTCGAGGTGGTGACTGCATACGCTTGTATTTAGAGAAGCTATAATTAATGCAGTCTTTTCTACTGCCTTTGTTGGTTTGGTCAGTTTGCAACTTGCAATCGAGAGCTCTCGCTTTTAAAAATAACATGGAGCTGCGAATAAGTGACTTGGTGAGGGTTGCTCATTTTAATCATGCCCTCTAGGAGAAAAACAGGACAACCCTGAACTAGATAGCATGTGCAACGTTGAAAAATGCAAGTTTGCACACATGTGTGCACAAACACAGCCCTTTGGGGTTATTCTTTAGTTAGCAAAACTCTACTTTCACATAGGCTTGGTTCCGCCCTGTCTGCATCTGACGTAGATTACTGTCCTAATTTAGAAACTTAATCCAAGGCTGGGCTGTAGCAGTAATTTGAACAGACTAATATCACAGCTACACCCGTCTGGGTGATGGGATACTGTTAGTAGCCGCTGCATAAATGGAAGTAAATGGGGAAATGGAAGTGAGCTGTCCTATGTGAAAAAGCCACCTTAAAGAAAATCAGGAGTTTGTTCTTAAAGAAATAATAAAACAATTCTCCTTATTTTTATATCATGTTATTATTATATTATTATATTACATTATAACATTAATAAGTAGTTGTTATAGTTCATTAACAACATAAAAATCACAGTAATAATTTCATTTCTGTACCACCCCATAGGCAAAGAACCTCTCTGGGCAGTTTACAACAATCCATAAAAATAAGACAATATTTAGTCACTATCTATCTATCTATCTATCTATCTATCTATCTATCTATCTTCTGATTTATATCCTGCCTTTTTCCAACAAAGGGCTCAAGGCAGCTGACATCATTCTCCTCCTCCATCTTATCCCCACAACAACATCCCTGTGAAGTAGGTTGGGCTGAGAGCCTGTGACTGGCCCAAAGTCACCCAGTGGGCTCCATGGCTGAGTGGGGACTCGAACCCAGATAGCCTGAGTCCCAGTCCCATGCTCTTAACCACCGCACCGCACTGGCTCTCCTATAAAAGCTTTTTGAAACCTATAGGACACGGGTGCAGAAGCTCACTGCAGAAGTCTGGCTTTGAATCTGCAGGGCTCCCCAGAAGACGGCACCTGCTTTCCTTCAGCCACCTCTCATTTGGTTAGTTTGTTCCCTTCTCCCCCTTGTAAAAGTTCGCAAAAGTTCGCAATGCCTTTCTTAAGGCTGAGCTGCTGGTAGGAAAAGCTCCAGGCTGAAATATGCAGACAGGTTGAGGGATCTGCTTTGTAGCCTTTTGACCCAACTCATCACTGACATGCGTCCCCCAAGAGCTTCTCCCAAATGGAATTCGGCTTTGAAAGTACGGAGCCTCCTACTCTGTATGGATAGGACATGTGTGCAGCGTATGCCGAAGGTCCACATGTTAAAC